TACGGATGAGGAAATGCAGGCTGAGAGGTCACATCGTTTACCCAGATTCTCACATCTAAGAAGGAGCAGAGCTGCGATGGTAACAAGCCTGGGTGGTTTTCCGCCCCACTGCCTCCCAGAGCCTTAGGAGGTTTAGCCGGTAACAGGTCGGGAGGAATCACAGGGTCTATTATATATTCAAAGCTTTTACAAACCAAAGTCTTAGGAATTCAAGTAAAGTGACTTGTGGCAAAGAAGGCATTAGAATTCTAATCCGTTGATTTCTCCGTGTCATCCAGAGGACACATTTACTCAAGCTCGTAATGGTGAAATAAAATCCTTGTCTCCCAGCCCCATCTCAGTGCACTTAATTAAATTACTAAATCACATGCTGCCTCTTTTTTCTTATGCGATTATTTCTTCAAAATCGGATGATTCGTGGATTCTTTTTTTCTCAATTCAATTATGGTTTCCTTGCTTTCTGAGTTGTCTAGGAGTATAATTAACATACAATTCTCCTAACTATTTCAGGCCTAATTGAAGCTGTATTATATACAATTAGCCTTGCCCTTTCTTCCATCTTTTACTTTGTTGGGCTGTATTAGCTATTCCAACAAAGGCCCCGAATCCTCCCACAAAGGCCTAAGCCCAGGAACTGATTCTAACTAACTTTATAAACTGAAATTCCATTTGGGGGAAACAATGGTTTATGTATATATTTAAAAGTTTCTGTAAAACACTTCTTTTGTTAAATTTATACCTAAATATTCATACTATTGTAAACAGAATTTTCTTAATTTCATTTCAGATTATAAGTGTATAGAAATGCAATTGATTTTTGTATATTGACCTTGTACCCTGCAACCTTGCTGAACTTATTAACTCTAATAGATTTTGGGGGGCTGTGTGTATATATTTCATAGGATTTCCTATATACAAGATCATGTTATCTATAGATTAAAGGTGGAATTTTTTTTAGAAAAAAGTAAAGCTGATTTAAAATACACTTACTATGATATTTTAGACCTGTTTCCCTAGTGCACAAAGAGAAACTTGAGAATGGTAGATTTCCTCAGATTACATCAGTTAGAGGAAAGAAGTTTTCTTGCAGATTGGTGGCAGAATGGCTTCTCCTACTGAAACACATAAACATTTAGTATTGAGAATGTGTTCACTCTGCCTTTTCCTTCCTGCTTAATTTGTCCCTCTTTCATGATTTTTGTTTTTGCTTTTCAGATTCAAGACGACTGGAAGTATGTTGCCATGGTGATCGATCGTATTTTCCTGTGGGTTTTCATCCTGGTGTGCATTTTAGGGACAGCAGGGTTGTTTCTGCAGCCCTTGATGGCCAGAGATGATGCATGAGCACTAAACTCCGTGTCTGCCTGAGGTTATTTAGGTGTGTGTTGGGGCTCAGTCTTTGAAGTTTATTTTTTATCGTGGTAAAATACACTTAGAGCATAAAATACATCACCTTCACCATGTTTAAGTGCACAGTTGAGTGGTATTAAACACGTTCACACTGTAGTGCAGCCTTCACCATCATCCATCCCTGTAACTCTTTTCATCTTGTAAAACTGAAACTCTAGACCCATGAAACTAACTCCCTGTTCTCCACCGCCCCCTCCCCCCGCCACCACCATCAGACATTCTGTCTTCATGACTTTGACTGTTCTAAGTACCTCATGTAAGTGGAATCATACAGTATTTGTCTTTCGGACTGGCCTATTTTACTTCACATATTCTCAAGGTTCATCCATGTTGTAGCAAATTGCAGAACTTCCTTACTTTTTAAGGCTGAATAATATTCCATTGTAAGTATATACATTTTGCTCATCCATTCATCTGTTGTTGTTGGACACCTGGGTTGCTCAGATGTTCTGGCTGTTGTGACTATTGCTACTGCGTACATGAGTGTACAGATCTCTCTTCAATAATCGGATTTCAGTTCTTTTGGATATATATACCCACAAATGGAATTGCTTGGTTATAAGGCAATTCTATTTTTAACTTTTTAAGGAAGCATCATACTGTTTTCCACCACAGCTGTACCATTTTACATTCCCACCAACAATGCCCAGGATTCCAGTTTCTCCACATCCTCATCAATACCTGTTTTCTGTTTTTTTGAAAAAAGCAATCCTATTGGTTGTGAAGTGGTAGCTCATTGTAGTTTTGATTTGCATTTCTCTAATGATTTGTGATTTTGAGCATTTTTTCACGTGCTTATTGGCCATTTGTATACCTTCTTTGGAGAAATGTCTGTTCAAGATCTTTGCCCATTTTTTAATCAGGTGTTTTGTTTGTTAAGTTTTAGGAGTTCTGTGTTTATTCTAGATATTAATCCCTTAACAGATATATGATTTGCAAATATTTTCTTCCATTCTGTAGGTTGCCTTTTTACTGTTGATGGTGTCTTTTGATGCACAAAATTTTTTAATTTTTATGAAGTCTAACTTGTCTTTTTTTTCTTTTTACCTGTGCTTTTTGTGTCATATCCAAGAAATCGCTGCCAAATCCAGTGTCATAAAGCATTTGTCCTGTTTTCTTCTAAGAGTTTTATTGTTTTAGGTTTTATGTTTAAGCTCTTTCATAATAGTAACACACTTTATATCATCAAGCTGCTGGCTATGTTTTTGTCATTTCAAGGTTTATTATCCAGTTGTCTTGATTTTTGTAAAAAAAAAAAGATTCATGCAAGAAAAATGTCAAGAGTATTATGTAAACAAACATTTAACCAGCCTTTTGGGTAAGGGTAAGAAATGTCAAAATATAATTCTTCTACAGTGAGCAGTAGCATGCTGTGCTGTGGATCATGTAAAAATGGGCTAAATATGAAAACTTTTTCTTTTATTTAGTGGTCGAGACAATTGAAGGGAAAAAACTTGCTGTTCAGAGATGTGAAAAACCATTTGGTTCAGTAACACAACAGATCTCCCAATGGTTTTCTTACTTAGCCCATTATCTTGTTTTATACTATTTCAGCAAGACCTCACTACTGTCTTGCTGCACGTGAAGTTACCATGCACTTCTTATTGTTTTAAACTGTTTTTCAACAGTTGAAGGACCATGCCTCTACTGCAGAGGGCATCGATTATTTCATAATTTTGAATCATACTATGAGAAATTATGCCTAGTCATAACATTCATTGTCAAGGAACCTTTAGAACAGGGTTTCTCAACCTTAGCACTAGTAACACTCTGGGCCGGATCATCCTTTGCTGGTGGCAGGGTTGTGGAGTGGGGGTCTGTCCTGTACATCATAGGCTTTTTAGTAGCACCCTGGCCTCTACCTACAGGACACCAATAACGTATCCCCATCCCTTGCCAATGTGACAACCAAAAGTGTCTCCAAAAATTGTTAAATGTCCCCCTAGGGACAAACTGCCCCTGGTTGAGAACCACTGCTTTAGACAAATTTCTAAGACAAGAGGATCCCATACTCCACTTCTGAATCTGAATAACCACCGGCAAGAGATGATTCAGAGGCCATTTTAATCTCACTAGCCTTTGTTTTTCCTATGCAAAAATAAAACTGACAGAATTTCAGCTCACTGTGACTCATGTTTCAATAAGTCAAAAGAAGATTTCTATAAAATTTACATACAACATTTGAAAGTAACAGTAATGGAGATACTGGTAACAGGGATCAGGGAGGTATACATGCTGTAAGAGCCATCCCGCAATTTAAACTCATCAAATAGCATTAAACACCTGCCAATAAAATGCAAATTAGACAGGATCCCCTCTGCCTTCCAGATAGTGTTGACTTGAACTTGGACTGGTTACTTAGTATAAATAAATAAGGCATTTGTTCTCTCAAGAGCTGGGCGTTCTAAATCAAATGCAAGATTTCTATCAGTATTTTTCTCCTGGACACGCAGTAGCACATCCTTGCCTGTGACACATGACACGGTACTGAATGCATAGAAATAGGCATCGAAAGGCCCTGGCAACTCTCAGATTCTGGTACTGTAATTGTTGGAATGGAAGAGGTACAAGTGAAGCACTACAGGCATGTAACAGTGTGCTTGTACATAATTAGAATACCATCTTTAATCTTGGAAGATGGTTTTCTCACAGAACAAGTCAGTAGAATCCACAGATGTGTTCTTACAATGGGATTCACCAAGTTATAGTGGACACCTCTAGAATCAAGGATAAAAAGATGCTACTACAATTAATATAGAAGGTAGTTCTATTAATTGTGGAAAATGTGGACAAGAGGACTGAAGTTAATGTTAAGGATATGCTACTGCGTGTCCATAGGAGTTGTCTATTGTATGATTTCACAATGGAAGGTAAGCTATAAAAATAGTTGATGCAATAACTGTTCAGTTTAAGCATTGAAAGAATAAACCAGCATCATAGTCAATCGTCATCACACAGTGATCAGCTTGTTCACTATAGCAGCACAATGCTATACTAAAGATCAGCTGTCACCCAGTGAATACAGGACAGAGAATTTTTTAATGTGTACCTTTACCAAATGCAGGAAGTTTGAAATCAGTCTTCAAATGAAACAGGAATTTTCCATCACAGTCAAAAGATGAGCTTCACTGTTGATTACAAAGAAGAATTATTTTCCAGGATACAAACATCAGATTTTTACTAGTACAGTTTAGATACTATTTTGCTGCTGTTTTTTGAAGGTCAAATGTTATTCAGTCAGTTATTACTTCAATCATGCAGGGAGATGTTCTAATGGGCAATCTAGTAAGATAAATTGATGTTAGTGGGGAGGGCATAGCTCAAGTGGTAGAGTGCATGCTCAGCACGCACGAAGTCCTGGGTTCAATCCCCAGCACCTCCTCTAAAAAATAAAATAAATAAACCTAATTACGCCCCCCCGCAAAAAACCCCACACAAAAACGTACCAAAAAAAGGTAAAAAAAAAAACCAAAACTGATGTTAGAGTGTTAATCTGTTAAAGACTGCATCAAATGTTAAACACAATTTACATTTTCATAATTTTATAGGTGCCATGGGAGATACGTGCCTTTTAAGTGAATTCCTACTACAACCCTGTGGGAAGTGTCACTTCTTTGCATTTCCAATATGAACTGGCACTACTATATTTGCCCATTTATAGATAACAGGAACAAAAAGCCCAAGAGATCCAACAATTGAAACCAGAAGAAAAGTCCATAGAAACATCCGATCAAGAACCTGGGCTATGAATTTCCAATCTGCAACAACCTGCATCAAAAAAAATAAAACGCATTAAATAGTTAAAAGACATGACACAATTTGTTAATTTACACATCAACTTATAATATAAGTGGCTTATTTTGATAGATTTTTAATAAAGCACTTGGTTATTTTATAGTAAATTAAAAAAACTTTTTTATTCTTATTATATGTAGTTATTTCTGTTACTTACTCTGGCCCCGTAGTGTTTACTTATTTTAATTATTAAAGATAATCCAGCCTGAGGTTAATTGCATGACAGAATAGTTCAGAATACTAAATATTCGACACGTGTTCATCTTCTTCCTCACCTCACCTGCTTTATTTAGTTTTGTTTCTCCTGGGGACCATTTTAATCTAAGCTCAAGAGTTCCGATCTGCTGGCTTGGAGCTCATTTCCTCCCCATTTTTGCAGCCTAAGCAGGTGTGAGTGACCTCAAGGGAAAGGGCAGGCTGAGACCAAGCCCTGAGCACCAGAAGCTCCCCTTCTACAAGGCCATGACCTTGACCAAGGGCTTCCCCAGCCCCCTGTTCTCTGTGAAGCATGGGGTCTTCTACAGACACTGTGCCCCAAGTCTCAGAATAATGTAGAATTTAGAGGATGATTAACACCCTACCACCTGTCTGTTCCTGAGTTTTTCCCCCCTGAAAATAAACCCCACAGGCCATCATGGAAGCAGCCCTGACCCTTCTACAGAACACTTTGCAGACATTCATTAAATTCCATCTCAATCTCAATCATTATCTACTACTGGTATCTTTCAAGACTCCATTGATAGCTTTATTTTATAAAGTTAATTATAGTTATGCCAAATAGAAACTTTATAATCCACAAGCGTTAAAAGTTTATTAGAAACATATGTCAAATGTTGCGGGGGTGGGGGGGCTGTTACTTTCCCAGAGTCATTCCATTTGCTTACCACACCTGCTAGAAATTTTTTTAAAGATTTAGATATTAGAATCTGTATAAATTTTTTATGCTAGATACTATTTTGTTATTTGTTGGATTTACAATATTGTATTAGTTTCAGGTGTATAGCAGCGATTCAAAATTTTTATAGCTTATACTCCATTTAAAGTTATAAAATATTGGCTATACATTCCTTGTTCTGTATAATATATCCCTCCCTATAGCTTATTTATTTTATACATAGTAGTTTGTATCTTTTAATCCCCTACCCTTATCTGGCCTCCCTCTTTCTTCTCCCCACTGGTAACCAGAGGTTTGTTCTCTGTATCTGTGAGAGAATTCACATAATTTTAATGGGACTATTCAAAGCAAAGTCAATTCTGAAAATATTACACAATAAAGAATAGTGACCAGATTGAAATTTTACATATTTTGAAAAATACCTCCAGTTCAATACAATCACATTAATAAAATGTATTCATGTTCAATTCTTGCATCTTCACTATTAATTAACCTTAGATAAGGAGCCAATGAGTTATTTTTCTATAATAAAGTTTTGAGCAAATTTTTGTTCTTAAGCAAATTAAGTGTATTATGAAATACTACACTAAGCTTCCTGTGTACACTTTGATGTATAATACATAAATCCTGAGAATACCTTACTGCTTTTAATTCAGTAACATTCTCTTGTAACTGAACAACAAAAAGAAATTATCCTAGAAAAACATCTTGGCTATATTTATAAAGCCTACATTAGGCTCATTCTTTAAAAAATAAAACCACTTGAGAAATTATAATGCAGTTGTGCCTGCCGATTACTGTACAATTCAGAAACAAAGTTACTCCAGATAAAATTAAAATGGTTCATCCTGTCAGAGCCAAAAAAACAAATGGCAGGATCACTGTGCCTTAGAGTAACAGAGCAGTCAGCCTAACACAAAGTGTTTTTTAAAAAGTCATCCAAGATGCTGATGGGGACATGGAGGCATGAGATCTGTGCACCTGCCCCACCTGCAAAGGTTTTAACTGAAACCAATTCTAGTAGAGATCTTTTACCAAACAGTGTGTCAGTATTCCTGGCCCTCATCTGTGCTTAGTCCTAAGGGTCATGCTGTTTGCCCAACTCAGAATCAAAACAGATCTGCGTTCCTAACAACAAGCGGACACAGACCTCCCGGACGTCATTCTCCCTCATCACGTGTCTCGTGATGTAGCGAACAGAGTCAAGCGCAGCTTCCAGCGTGTTCCGAGAAGGTTTTGGTCCCCTGCTGCTCTCAGTTTCTTCCTTCTGACTGAAGTACCTATCCACATGGCTTCTCATGCAAAGCAGTTTCGGAAGCCGGTGAAGAAATATCTTGCGGACCCATGGAGCCATAGCGTTATGCGTGGAGGAAGAACGGTGATGGATGTTGATAGCGAAGACGGTGACCATAATGGACAGTGTCACAAAAATCATGGTAAACACCAGGTACTCTCCAATCAGAGGAATTACTTTTGAAGATGAGGGTATGATCTCTTCGATGACAAGAAGGAAGACGGTCAAAGAGACAAGCACTGAAGTGCAGAGACAAATCTTTTCACCCTCGTTTGAAGGCAGATAGAAGACAAGTACGGTTAAGAAGGAGAGCCCGATACAGGGTATGATGAGGAACAAGGTATAAAAGAGGGGCAGGCGCTTGATCACAAACGAGTAAGTGATGTAAGGGTACCAGCAACAGCTGTCCGTCCTGTTTCCCTTGCTTCCCGTTGCGCTCACAATTTCCCATTCTCCGTTATCAAAAAAATCTCTCTTGTCTACATCTTGGTCCTCCAAAATTATATCAACCTGTGATCCATCGTAAGTCCAAGAACCAAATTTCATGGAACAGTTTTGGAGATCGAATGGGAAAAACGTGACATCGATGGTGCAGGAACTTTTGTAGTTTGCCGGCGGAGTCCAGGTGACAGTGCCGTCGTACCTGACCACGGTTTTCGTACTGGCCCCTTCAAAGCGCCCATCTGCACTGAAATACACACACTGCACGGTAACAATGCAGGGATTAAACAACCCACGCATGCGTTTTGCAAGCCTAATAAACAAGAAAGCCTATACCATAGTGTGCAATATTTTAAAAAAATTATTACACTTGAGCTATGCCTGCTACACGCAGGGGGGCTCTAGTTTAGGACATCGAACGCTACTGAAACTGAACCCCTACGTCCACATCCACTGCAGGACTGACAGAGCTATATTTGACAGAATCCTGAGATTTAAGTGGTTGAAATGGTTTCACTTTGCACACAAAATGGAATTAGGCTGTTTATAGCAATGGACGTGCACAGAGCCAGAACCTGAAGCCACACTCTTAGACGCCCCACAGTGTTCTTCCGTCTCCGTTACAGATACCGGATGCTTCCTAGCAGACGGGGAAAGAACGTTAGCACCCGGCTGGGCATGGCCCTGGGAGCAGCCGCACCTCTCCAACTCTGCCACTCGCTGGAGAGGCCTAGCAGGAAGCACCACCGCCACCATGACATATCTTCAAAGTATTGCTCTCGATCTTAAAATTCATGTGACTTTTGCACACTACTCTGTAATATATCCGTGTTGTATATAAAAATGTTTTTCCAGTGACTTAGAGTAAAATGATGCTCCAGGAAGCAGCATCATGCTACCTCACAGCTTTGTTCACGGCTTCCATGTTGAGAACCGTGCAGGTAAAGGTTTGAAAAGATTAAAGATATGTTTGCTTAGCATTTGCTCTGTCCTCATGCCAAACGCCTTCTTGCCAATAAAACAAAGTGCTTTAGGGTAAGCAAATTCCCAGAGCTGTCCTGGAGTGGTCTTAGAAAAAAAGGAAACTGGTATCCAGGAGTACCCTCTCCCCTAAGTTAAAAACCACCCTCAATGGGTAGCGGGTATAGCTTAGTGGTACAGCACGTGCTTGATGTGCACAAGGCCCTGGGTTCAATCCCCAATGCCTCCATTAAGGGGAGAAAATGAATAAAAATTTTTAAAAACCATCCTCAAAACACACTTAGGTAGAATACCTACGAACATGAGTTAATAATTAACCCAATGTTGCTCACTGTGGGAAAATTGTGATACAGTATTTAAGAAAAATTAGAAAGATGCACATTTGAACATAAAGTATGACCTTAACTATTTAAAAAAAAACATACCAGGTGGAGAGGATATAGTTCACTGATAGAGTGCATTGTTTAGCATGCATAGGGCCTGGGTTCATTCCCCAGTACCTCCATTAAAAAATAATAATAATAATAAATAAATAAACCTAATTATCCTCCCCCAAATACCAAAAATATATAAAAAAAAAATCTGGAAGGAAGTCTGCCAAAAATGTACGCTAGAACATGAGGGTAAATGGGGATGTCAGGCGGCCTCGGTGTGAACCCCCACCACCCACCATCACATGTGAGCTGTGTCATCTTGGACAAGGTATAACTCCCCTTTCTCATCTGTCAGATAGATATAATCATACCTAGTTCACAGTGGTTATCACGGGAACTGAATGAATAACGCACATAAGGCACTGAGCACGCTGCCAGGCACTGAGTAAGGTCAGTGCACGCGGAAGCTGATGACGGCAGTGGCCTCTAAGTGACAGGATAACAGGTTTGATTGCACCTGCCCCCCAGCTTCCAGCGCATACCTTTCTGGACTTCCCAAATGTTGTATAGATTTTTGAAATCTAAGAACACTTTTATGATCAGAAAACAATACACCGAAAAAGGGAGAGGAGCACAGAACCGATCTGCAGGTTTATGAAACGAACACAAGTCAGTCATGTGACTTTATAGCTAAACAATATTCAAAAAGAAGAAGAAATTACTAGTGTCTAATAGTAATGCAATTGTTTTCTTTTGAAAACCTAAAATGGCTTCTTGAATACAACTTACTTATCAAACAAAACGATGTCTGGGGTCCAAAGAGAGTCTGAAGGGACACGTATAACTTTTATTCCACCATAGTCATCAGGATTCCATCTTAATTTTACATCAACCCATTCCTTAAAAAGAAAGAAACCTGACTCAATTTCAAGAAAATTAATAGTCAAAAACAGTGAAAACTATACTCTCAACATTTTAGACATAAAATCACCTCTACTGCCAGTAGAGAAAACTCACCTCCACTGCCTTCCTCTGGGCACTGGAGGACAGCCCTGTCCCCTTGTGTGGTGACTCCAGCCATGGTCCCCACGAGACACCAGGGCTGGGCGCGTCCATGGCTCTGCTCAGCACCTCTTCTCCCACCAAATGACCAAGCCCAGGAGCTCAGCCATGGGCACCTAAGGCCGAGGTTCAAGGGACATTCTCTTTTCTAGCTGCATTGTCACTGCCTGGCTGGAAGGGTCCACGCACAGAGCAGCTGGATTTATTACACATTCCCCATATTGAAACACCTTGTCCAGCCTCCACCCAGTAACAACTCTGTAATCATGTCAAGTTAAGACTTGCACCCCAAACATTGTAAAATGATTATAAATCAAAAAAAATGTTAAAAAAAAAGACTTGCACCCCAAAGAAAGCATATATACCTTTTGGGTATATATGGGGTTTATATGTTTGGGGTTAGGAAACTGGTAGCAGGTATTAAAAAATCAGGGATGCCCTACTGTATAGCACAGGGAACTATATTCAATATCTTGTAATAGCCTGTAACAAAATAGTACATGAAAAGGAATAAAATCACAAGCTCAATTAAAAAAAATGTAAAAAAATAAATTAAAAATTAAAAAAATAAATTGAAAAAAAAAACCAGGGATAATAAAGAACAAAGCGAAGCACTCAACAGTTGTTGGGGACATATGTATGGCGGCCCAGAAAAAAGTCCTTTCTAGAAAAGGACTAGGAACATAAAAATAAAGCAATACATTCTTGCCTGTCCCCCTCACTCAGAGTAAGAGCCAAAACCCTCGAGTGGCCAAGGAGTGGCTGCTCATAACCTACACCAGAAGCAACCACCCGCCGCCTCCTGTAGCTTCCCGGACCCCATCCCCTACACCCCTCCCCACAGCTCCCTCACCTCTAGCCAGCTGGCCTCCTGGCTGCTCCTTAAACACACCAGGCCCCCTCCAGCCTCAGGACATTTGCCCTTCTGTGTCCCTCAGCCAGGGACACTCCTCCCCCAGATACTCACGTGGCTGGCTTACCCCTCCCTCCATCCACCTTCAAGTCTTTGCTCCAATATTACCTCCTCAGTGGCACTTCCCTGCCCGTTCTATAGAATTACAGTCCCCAACCCTCTCTTCTCCACTTTCCTTCTGTATTTTCCTCCAAGCTTACGCGCTTGAAAGGTACTATCCAACTTCCTATTTATTCCCCCGCCCCGGGAATGAAGTCCCCTGAAGGCCTAGACTTCTGTCTGTGTTGTTCACTGCTGTTTCCCCAGCGCCCAGAGCAGTGCCTTGCACACCACCGGCACTCAAATAATGTTAGCTGAAGGAACACACGACTCCATCTACCTCATCTTTCTGCATCCTGCCAATCCATCCCAAGACCAAACACTCCTATTCCCTTTGTGCCACAAACCCGCTGACAGCAGTGGCACAGCAAAGAGAGGGGCGGCCCTTGAGATTTTATACATACCTGTTTCAACCAGACATTTGTCGTCATTAACTGATTTTTCTCATCCTATAAAATAAAAATTTAAATAAGGCTGATTACATCAATTAGAGGAACAATAATTCTTTAAGAGTTGTCTCATTTCTATATAAACACTCTCCTCTCTCTAGTACCTACACTCGATTCATCAATCTGGTTCTCTAGAAAAGCAGCACCTTTTTTCTCCAGCCTAATTTCACGTTATTCCTTCCAACATACCCTGTACTTCAGAGCAGCTGCCCTCAAGTACTCCACTGGCTTTTTTAGATTTAACATTAACAGCCTCAGCTACTGCAGCTCCTCGAACCTAAGCCGCAATCTAAGGGGCGCAGCGTTAGTTTGTGTACTTAGCATTAAGGAAGAAGAAGGTGGAAAATGGATCGTGAGCTGTCGTTAATCATGAGACACGTCTGGATTTCAGAAGCACTGCAGTGGGGCGGGGACGCGCGTGTTACAAGCGGCGAGACCCCGTGTCTGTGTGTGTTCTGGAGGGGCTGTGACTTGCTGCTTGCCTCTGCGAAGGCACGAATCTGAATCTCTCTTGCGGAGCTGCTGTGTACAAAGCAACACTGAGGTCAGAGCCTTGAATGGCAACTTCGTAACGCCTCTACAGACTACTTGCCTAGAGAACGGAGGGCCCTTGGTACGTGCCACTCACACTTTCCTGCTGTCATATCTTTGCTTATGCCGGTCCTTCACGGAGTTTTCAAGGCCTAATTAAAGTGGCATCTTTTCCATTAAATTTTACTGAAATATCACAGAGCCAGCTGACCCAGTAAAAGATGGTTATGATTATCAACCACACACACAGGCCTGGTGCAGGGTACAATGCTCAGGGCACAGAGACCCACAGCAGTATGAGGGAATCCCTACTGGGGAGAGAGGACAGGGTGTAAACAGCTGAGGTGACTGGAGGGTCCCCATTCCCCACCCCACCCCATTAACAGTGAAGGACCCGGGAGAACGGAGGAGGCCAGAAGGAGGCTCATGTCTAGGGACAAAGGCAGCTGGTAGGTCCTTACATGGAAGGAACTGGTCCTAGGAAACACCACGTGGCCAGCCCTCTCATGCTGCGTTTTCCAACGAGCAATCTTCCTTCCTCAAAACACCAGAGCTGGAAAGGGCCTAGAGAATTTACCTACTGTAATCTCTCCATTTTGCAAATACGGAAACTGGGCCAGTGAGGCAACTTGCCTGAAAATCACACCACCAAGTAGTGGTAGAACCGATTCTAAGAACTCACAACCCCAAATTTTTAACCCTATCCCATCAGCTCTAGTGTCCACGCCAGTCATACACCTTTCCGAGTAACCGCTGATCCCCGTATTAGAATATGCCTTTCAGGCAAGAGATCTAAACAGAGACATTAATAATTAGGAAAGTTCTGGTAAACATATTAACTATGACGCTGCACGGTACTAGGTCATCTCTGAGACTATGGACCTTTTCCCCAGAAAAATGTGAACATGTAGATTTTGCTCTCTGGGCTGAGACCTAGTCAACACTCAGTGTGTTCAACAGAACACAACGATCCATAAATTCACAAAGGTGTGGGGTTAGCCTCTCCCTCAGGGGATGCAGCCTAATTTCGGCTCAAGTACCTCTCGAGCATCTATAATGCGGCCAACACAACGGAGGCCGCAACAGAAACAAAACCGAGTAAAGACAAACAGGATGACACTCGGGAGGAAACCAGAAATGAATGTGAACTACGCCTGAGCACAGTGGGTAAGTTTTAGTGGTGATGGTTGCTTTTTTTTTTTTAACCTGACCATAAAAATCAAAACAAACAAGCCAGCCCTGAGATTTTAAAAAGAGTGAGAACACATAGAAAATGAGATAGGAATCTGAGGAAACGTCAAGGAAGAGCCACTAAACATGACCACGAGGTTGAAGGGGAAAGACCTCAGCAATTAAAATGAACATAAAACCCCTGGGAAGCAAGTCAGCCAACCTTCTAGTCTCAATGTCCGGGGCCCTTGGCCCCCATCTTCCTTGACTCCAGTCCCCTCCTGCTCTTGGGGTCACTGACCCCACATCTTCTGGGCTCTTCTCTCAAGAAGCAATGCTTCCCCAACATCTCTGCTTGGCCAACCCTTGCTTCTACCACGTTCTGTGAACGTGGCTTCTGCTCTCCCTGCTTTAAGAACTCATCAATTCAAAGTTTTCAATAATCACCTCAGGCCAGCAATTCCAACCTGACATCCTCAGCCTTGTCTCTCACCTCTGAGCCCATCCTGACTTTCCAAGGGCCTCGTGAACTTTTTCTGTTGAATGTACCACAATGACTTCCTATCAAAAGCAAACCCATCACCTTCCCTGTCCCAAGACAACCAATTTTCTCTTTCAAACTGATCACTCTTCTAACCACATAGGCTTCAAAATTAGACCTCTCCCTCTATATTCAGTGCTCAAGTCCCATTCCTTCTTATCTGAGATCTCCTAACTTGCCTCTCAAGCTTCTAGTCTTTCACTCCCCAAAGCCACCTATTTAATTATAGTATTGATCTTGCTAAAGGATTGCTTTTCCCATGTCTGTGACCCATCGGATCTTTCATTCATCCAGCGTTTACTACGTGCCAGATGCCAGGTGAGGCTCCGGGACAGACACAAGGAATAAAGCTCACCCTGCTTTGAGGACACCATGCCAGGACATGCGTGCCAGTCAGTGTGGTGGGCGTTATATCAAAGGGCAAAGGGCCGTGGGGACAAAGGAGAGGCTGTCTGAGTAAGTCTGATGTCAGAGTCTGACAAATGAATTTGGCCTTGGAGGATAAATGGCTTGTGCTGAGAAGGAAAGTTCTGCAAACAGAAGGAATGACAGGAGCAGAGGCACAGTTCCTGCAGACCTCACCTCCTCCACCATCCTGTCAGGCCATTCTGCGCAGTGGGGCTCCCAGCAGGAACCTTTTGATCTAGACAGCCGAACAAAAGGGCTTAATATCAGTTCGGCACCTCTGATTATAATCTTCCTTGTTAACTGAAGTTCTTTCTTCTCCGCACACGGATCCTACACTGGGCACAAAGCCAGCTCAAGGGCCACTTCTACCTTGCTTTCTTTGATCACCTCAGTCCTCAAGGTCTGAATTCCCAGATCTGTGATATCACGATTTAATCCTGTAGTGTTCCACAGTGACTCCGTTTACATGCTTACAGTCCCAACTAGAAAGAAAGGCTGAGAGCCAGCCCTGCTGATCTTCCTTCCTACATCCCTATTTTTATCTATCTTTAAAATCTCTCTGTATTGCCGAGCAAAGGATCAAGCACAGAGTCCACATTCACTGACTTTCTGGAAGCAATTAGGTGACATATAGCAATCAACAGACTTGAAAAATGTATATCCTTTGATTCGCCACTTTTCTTGAGGAAAGGAGAAATGCAGACATTTATGCACAAAATATTCGTCACTGTCATTTATGACAGGAACAATTGGGAACAACATTCTCTTCTGTCAACAGTAGAGAATGTTTAAATAAATTATAAATTACCATAAAGCCATTAAAAATTACATTTAAAGATTATGTAATAACAAAAGAAAAGGTTCATCATGTAACAACAGGGGGAAAGCAGGAGTCAAAATTATATCTAAATAATATTCTAATTTTGTAACATATAAAAAAGGGCAAGAAATACAACAAAATGTTACCAATGGTCATCTCTGGTGGTAGGATTACAATTAATTTTTATTTTATTTGTATTTTTTGAACTTTCTAAATTCTCTCCAAAAATCACGCATCACTTCTCTAACCAGCAAATAAAAGCACACTTACAAACATTACTTACATACACACACATATATATATACTTGTTGACTATTCTGGGAGCACAGCAGGGAAATAATTATTGATTGACATGATCAGAACAAGAAGAAACTAGTTTAAAAATCAGTATGAACTTTTTAGTTAAAAACAGAAAGAATCTCAAAAAAAGAAAAAGAAAAAAAACAGAAAGAATCTCTCAACCATAAGAACAAGTTAAAAAGTTAAATCAAGGGAATTTACTCCCTGCTGATTGTCACAGGGAAAAACCTCTGAAATGTTTTAAGTGTGACGCTGAAGCAGTGATCTGTTGAGGTCCTTTTTGGTCCTAAAAGTCTACAACTCTACTCTTGGAGTTTTTGCTTTTAAAATTTTTGACTTTTTGATCATATTTTTTAACACATTTAAGGAGAAGCTTCCATAGAAAATGTTTAATATCTTCAAATTTATTTAAAAATAGACCTATGTTAATTACCAAATAAGAGAAAATGCTTTCTAAACGATACCAGATTATATAAACACACTGCATTCCCAGGTGACTGGTGTAATCATTTTCCCTGGTGAGTTGCTTGAGGAAGAAGACTTGTGTTCATTCACTTTTGTAACCTCTGTGGCCTGAGGCAGTGCCCGGGCACACAATACACTCTCCCCACCCCCGAGTGAAATGGAATATTAATGACACGCATACCTACCACGTCCACTAGTTGAGATATTGCAAGGCCAAACTTGATTTTTATTTTGTCATTCAGGTGTTCCACAGGACGAACCCATCTTTCGTAGTCTTGAAATAAGTCCTTAAACAGACTATCTTCATGTTTTGCAATAAAGGATGGTTCAGCTAATCCTGTATAACAAATTTTTAAAAGTTAGTGGATTGGCTCCTCTCCCACCAGATACCTCTACTTAAATAAAAAAAAAAAAAGTTCGGCGTTACTAACATACTAACAAACCGAAGTATTATTTAAGCTATTATCAAAGGAGATTTTTAAATGAAATATTAATACAAGTGTCTGCGACCAACAAGGGACACTCTGGTTTGGATATACTTCTTAGTTAATTCAGGTTATTCGCATGGAAATACACTGAGTTCAGTAAGAAGCACTCAGTACTTCATAGAGTAATTTGAAATCTAAGTAATGAAAGCATTTAAATTACCAAAGCTAAGGGGGTTGCTCGTCATAAAATTCCAAACCTAGAAAACAGATAGATTAAAGTTCACTGGTCAACTATAAATATAAAATAAACACGCTGTAATTTACAAGCTTTTAATAT